CCACAGCTCTGCCGCAGGACAGCGGTCCCGTCCCACCACAGCTCTGCCACAGGACAGCAGTCCCAGGCGGGAGCTCTGCCGGAAGAGAGCCTCATCTTCCTCCCTGGGAGCAGTTGCTGCGCTACACCACCGCCTCCCAGTTCCCAGCCCAGCACTTAACCGGGCCCCCACCAGGGCTCCTGGTCAAGGACTGCTGTTGCAGGGGGGCCATGGGGGTTCCCAGCTCACTGGGGCCAGAAACACACCCGCACTCCGCCACGTCCGTTTATTGGCCCGCAGCAGCCCACCGGGGTCAGAAGGCCATGCCCTCCAGGCCGTCCTCCATGAACTTCTTGTACAGCGCCATGAACCTGGCCACAAAGGCCTCCAGGTGGTAGACGGCCTTGCTGCCCAGCTGCAGGCGGTGCTCGTAGTGGGCAGCCATCTGGGCCACCTGGCCTTTCAGCTGCCCGTCACAGTTGTGCAGGAGCTCGGACAGCAGGCCCTGTGGAGGAGACGCGCACGCACGGTCAGCACGAGACACGGCGCGGGGGCCGACTGCTCTAGGCAGCTCCACTCAAGCATCAATACAAAGTGAAGACACACGCACACGCACAGCTCCACGCAAACATCAATTCCAAGTGTACACACACGCACACGCACAGCTCCACTCAAACATCAATTCCAAGTGTACACACACGCACAAACGGCTCCACGCAAACATCACTACAAAGTGTACACACACACACACACACACACACCAGCTGTGTGCACCGGGGAGACAGAGACCGGGACCCGGGGGGAACTCTGGCAGTCCTACCCACAGCCCCACACAGTGACTGTGAGAACCCCAGTCAGCTCGACTTCCAGGCCCCACGCGCGTCTGCTGGCACAGGCACCTCGAGGGCGACCAGCCCCGGCCGTCCCGCTGGCTGGTGCCGTGGGAACTGAAGGTGCAGTTTCACGTGTTTCTATTTACTGGGTCTCGCTGGGAACGTTTTGGTTGTAATAAAAAAACACCAGACTCCACAAACACCCTGCCGTCCACTACGGCTGGTGAAGTAAGCCGTCCATGCCCACAGCCTGACCTGGCGACCTCTGCTACCAGTCAGTTGCCCTTCCTGGAGCACTTGTCCCCAGCTAGGGACAAACAGGGGCCCAGGCAGCCCCCCATCCATGGTGCCCAGTTACACGGGGCAGAGCCCATCTCCACACACCCGTCAGGGATCAGTAAACCTATGGGACCACCCATCACAGGCTCGCAAGGGGACATAGTTCAGCCAGGCATCCCACGCTGGGGCCACTGTACCCTCCTCCTAAACCCTTGCCAGTCTCAGCACCAACATCACCCCTGAGACCCTGTGCACCCTAAGAAAGGATCTTCTGGAGCACACGAGCTTCTCCCCTGGATGAGGGGCCCCCAAAGCTCTAGCCATGGCTGCCTGCCTTCTCCAGCCCCACCCTCACGTGCCTGGCCTCTGGGTGGAACTCAGGGTGTGGACACAGAGGGTGCCCCAGCAGTGAGGCAGCCTACCTTCATGATGATCTCGGGAGGAATGCAGTGGGTGAGCAGCTCGTAGAGCCGGCCCCGGACTTCCAGGAGCCTGCAGGAGGAGAGGGCACCGCTGAGCGCCTCGGGACAAGCCCCGCAGGCCAGGGCAGGCGCTGCCTGCACGTGGATGTTACCCGTGCTCCAGCTCTGTGACCGCAGGCCCAGCCCTTCAGGACACAGGGGGGACTCCACTACGTGGAGGCTCACAGACTTGGTGACCTGCCGGGTGGCATGCTCTTCCTCCAGGACATCAGGAACAAGGACACCCAAGACGAGGCCCGCTGGGCCTCACTGCACCCTGGCCGCCCCCAGCAGGGGGAGCTGCCTGTGCCCCAACGTCCAGGGTAGGCCTAAGATGGGCTCAGTGATCTCCCGGAGGGGAGGCAGCAGGTCTCCTCACCTCTGCGGACTCTGCTGGCTGACGATGGCATTGGCCGTCTCTCTCAGGTACACCTCCCAGTCGGCCTCGGGGATGTCCTGGTCCGCAGTGAATGGGTACCTGCGAGTACGAGAGGTATGACAGCCCCGCGCACAGGGGCCACCCCTCACTCCATCTGCCCTGACCCCACACGCCCAGTGCTGCCCTGACCCGTCCCCAGTGGCCGCCCCTCACTCCCCTGCCCTGACCCCACTCGGGTGCCTGCCTCTCACTCCCCTGCCCTGACCCCGCCCCCGGTGCCCGCCCCTCACTCACTGCTGCACGCGGCAGGCCTCGCACATGAGGAGCGCCTTGCGCAGGTTCCGGCGGGACTTCTCGGCCAGCCTGTGAGCCAGCTGTGGGGGCAGCACCAGCCCCTCCTTCTTGCACACCGCAGACAGCACCTGGCAAATCTGCGGGGGTCAGGCAGCAGAGTGGGGCGCTCTCCCGGAAGCCAGTCCGCCCACCCCAGCAGCCCAGGCCCCTCTCCAGCCCGAGGGCCGGGGTGGCTGCAGGGCGCCCGGCGGGCACGCGCACTGACCTCGTGGACGCTGGGGGCGGGCACGCGCACGGCCAGGCAGCGGCTGCGGATGGGCGGGATCACCTTGGACGTGGAGTTGCAGCACAGCACCAGGCGGCAGGTGGACATGTACTTCTCCATGGTGCGCCGCAGGGCGTGCTGCGCGTCCTTGGTGAGCTTGTCCACCTCCGTCAGCAAGACCACTGCGCGGGGCGGAGAGGGAGGAGGGCAGGGGTCGCCCGCAGTGACCACCAGCCCGGGTGTGGGTGCCAGCACCGCTCACGACACTTACACCCCACCGTCACCGGCGGTTGGTTCCCAGGCCCCCGCGGGGCGCGAAGCAGCGGTGTGGCGCAGCGTGAAGTCACTTAGGGCTAAGGGGAAGGTGGGCAATGGAAACCCAAGCAGTGGCTTCCGTGGCTGACCACCAGCCCGCCACACAGCGGGGCTGACGGCCTGCACGAGAAGGACGCCAGCACGAGGCCCCCAGGGCAGGCGAGCTGGTCCCGCACGTTTCAAAGGGGCTTTCAACAGCAGGAGCTGGAGCTCTGGGGGAAGGGAGGCCTGAGAGATGGCAGGGGGCGATGGTGATGACAATGGGGACCCTCACGGGAGTACGCTCCACAAAGGGGGCGCACCGGGAACAGAGGCGCATGAAGAGCCTCGAGTTGCAAAAGGAAAACGTTCCCCTTGAAAGAGGTCGATATTTAGCAGAAAGTGGCCAAGGAAAATAACCAGCAGAATGGTAGGCGACGTGTAAGGGAGCCCTCTCACTGCAAACCTCAACATCACGTCCAAAACTGGAATGTGGCGACAAAATGAAATAGCATCGATTGGACCTAGCCCCAAACACACCCAACCCAAACCCACTGCCATCCAGTCCAGCCCACTTACAGCGGCCCTACAGGGCAGGGTCCAAGATGGTGGCTCTTTACAGGGGGACAAACCCCACCTTTCCCCCAATCATAGGGCAGTATCTGAAAAACCTCCAAATGACACACTTCTAAGTAGTCAAAGAAAAGGTCTTCCCAAAAATCGGAAACTATTTTAACCCAAAGACAAATTTAAAAGCAACACATCAACATTGAGAAAAACAGGCGTTGAAGAAAACCACAGCAAAGGGCACACATACCCTAGACCTAGACCCTCGGCCATCAAATCGAGCCGCTCACAGTGAATGCTCATTATCGCCAAGACCAGGAGCAGACAGCCTCGGCTTGCTTCCAGAGGCAGCTGGCCGGCTCGAACCACGGACCTTCCGGTCACCAGCTGCGCAACTGAACCACTGTGGCACCAGGGTTCTTACATTATTGTTACACAGCTTTTTAAACTTTAAAATCTAAATGCAAAAACCATATCACTTCTTTCTTTTAAAGATCAAATGTGGGCATGAATAGTCCCTTCCTCCCGGCGAGATTCTGCCCCAATGACCAGGCCTGCCCATAGCAGAAGGTGTCTCTTGGCACCAGTGGGCCTGGACTTCCAGCCTCAGCAGGCGCCGGACGAGCCCCCAACCAACCTTTGAAAGTGCGCTGCGAGCTGGTTTCCAGCTGCTGTGCCTGTGCCACCGTCTTCAGCATCTCCTGGATCACCACGCGATCACTGTTCCCCGCATCGCTGTAGCACACACACACGGCGGTCAGCAAACCTCACCAGGGAGGGCGAGGCACAGGGCTACACACAAGGTCGGCTGGTCAGACCCACCAGCTGCTCCCCAGGAGAATGCGGCTGTCTGCTCTCGCAGGCATGCCCTGCAGTCTGGGGAAGCCTGGGTGGGGCTACCAGTCAGAGCTGAGCCGGGGGCGGGGTATCCCCTGACTAGTAGCTGTCCAGCAAGCATGGCGACCCGGCTCAGTGTGCGTTCAGAGCTATAGCCAAGGACGCTGACTTCTCAGCCACCTGCAGTCTCCCTCAGCCCTCCTCGGCAAGCCCAGGGGTCAGAGGTAACCACAGCTGAGGATGGCTCGGGACCGGGCAGTGTCTCGTGCTGCTGGACACCAGGCCCCTAGGAGTTGGAACCAACTCCACAGCCCCCAACAACAGACTATTAGCTGACTCAGGACCTGAGAGAGGACACGCTGGGGCGAGGCTCTGGGCCCATGGGCCTGCGCCACCCTGCTTTCTCTGTGACACGTCACGTCACGTCACGTCTCGTCACGTCACGTCACGTACTGGGCTGCCACACCAGTTGCAGGAAAGTTCGGCTGCGCTGCCATAAGAAGGGTGAGCCCATTCTAGGCAGGCAGGGGTTGGTGGGGAACCACCCACCTAGGGTTCACTTCGAGGTGATAGTTGCTGGCAATGGTGCTGATTTCTATTTTCTTTTTCGACGGCGTCTGGAACAGAGCAGGGAGAGGGTTCAATGTCTGGCCTGCTGTTTCCTCCTCCTTTTCACACTTCCTGGGCGTCTACCTCGTTGGCAGCTGATGGGCACCTTTACTAAAAACAGCGCGAAAGCCTGCCACCACCGATGCCTGCCACTTCACCCTGGGCATCGCGAAAGTGCCACTTCGCCTGATTTACAGACATCTGTCCCTGCCACTTTTTTGTGTGCCCCCCCCTTTTTATTCTGATAAAATCAGACCCTCTTCTTGGGGTGGTGCACAGAGCAGAAGGAAACACAGGGGCTTTGAAAAGCTCGGGGGAACAGAACTGAAACAGTGGAATTCTTCCACAAACTTCTGAGGTCCCCTCCTGTCTACATGCGTGTGCACGTGTGCGTGTGTAAACGCACAGGACCAGACAGGGCTTTGCTGCTAACCGTGTGGTCACTATGGGTTGGAACTGGCTCCATGGCTCCCAACAGCACAGGCGCACAGTGAAGGAGGCGGGCGGGTCACACCTCCTAGCCACTGTGAGGGAGAGAGGTGGAGTCTGCCCCGTGCAGATCTCCAGCTTCGGAGACCCACAGCACAGTGCTCCCTGACCTGCTGTGTCGCCGAATCGGGACCTGCTCGATGGCAGTGGGTTTGGCTTCAGCTCAGTCTCACAGCACGGACTTTGGAGACTGTGTCCTGGACTCACCGGGATAGGAAGTGACAGCCACCCTCTGCGTAGCACAGATCCTCCCTCCCCTTGACCAATGGCGGTGGGGTGCTCATGCTGCAAGGCATAGCCCACCCCATGACAGAGCAGACCCCTCTGAAGGTCTGCACGGAAGTGGATGGCCAGGTCTTCCTCTGGCTGCTGGTGGGTTCAAACCACCAACCTGTCCGTCAGCAGCCCAGAGTTGGGCGTGGGGCCACATCAGAACCAAATGGGAAATCCTTATTTAAACTGCACACTGGGCGGCGCGCAGTGGGGGAGATGGTGGGAGGACAGGGATGGGTATGGAGATGGAGGGTGGGTGGAGGAACCCGGATGGACAACAGAAAATAACAAACACTGGAGAGGTTGCAGAGATCGGAGCCCTCACATCCTGGAAAGCTGCAGACCCCCTGTGGGAGGGATGTGGTGCGGCGTTTCCTCAAACGACTGGGAAGAGAAATATCATAAACTCTCAGAACACCAAAGCTCTGCACTCACAAGGCGATCGGACCCTCAGTGACCCTACAGGACAGGGCAGGACTGGCCCTGTGGGTTTCCGAGGCTATAACTCTGCACGGGAGTAGAAAGTCTCGTCTTTCTCTCCTGGCTCGGCAGCCCAATGCAGAACCGCCGTGGCCCAGCCACCCCTCCACTCGGTGTACCCCCTACAGGCCAGAGGAACACAGGCCGAGCACACCTGTGCACACCCTGGCTTGCCGCAGCAGACTTCACAGCAGAGAGACGGGCATACCTAAGTGCCCGCCGGTACAAGAACGGTCAACAGTGGCTGGTGCGCCACCAGCGCAATGGGGCACCACAGGGTGGGTATGAACAACCGCCACCGTGGACTGCCTCCAGACATGGATGCCGAGGGGGACATTCTCCTTACCCCAATGGGATTAGAAAAATAAGAGTTACGATTATGGTTTTGATCACAAAAGCAGCATGCCTGGCGGCTTGCCTGGGATGGAAGGGGGGAGACAACAGGCTAGAGGGTAGACAGGCATCAAACTCGGCCGAAGGGAAGACTGTACCCAACAAGAGCAACATGTGGGGGAGGCAGGGGCTCAGGGCAAGCCACTGGGAGATTTCACAAATGGCTGAAGCTGCTGAAGACAAAAATGATGGTCTGTGTACGTAAACCCCTACCTGAATCACAGCAAAGTTTCAAGAAAGAAAACGCCAGCTAGTGATGCTTGGGGAGCCTCCAGGTGGACGCTTACCGTGATGGTCTGATGTTCAATTCTCAGCTTCTCCACCCCTACGCCATACAGTTCCCGGAGCAGACACATGATTCTGGTCTTCTTCCCCGCTCCCGACGGCCCATACACCAGTAGGTGAGGAAAGTCTCCACATTGCACCTGGAGAGCAGAGAAGGAAGCGTTTCTCCCGGGAGACCGGGGGATTGGGGGTGCCCGCAGATCCATCCGCATACGTGACAAGATCCATCCGCATACGTGACAAGCCCCTGGGACAGCGCAGAGACACCACACAGGGTGTCCCAGGACGGCATGTTCAGGAGAACAGACTGCCAGGCAGAGCCACTGGGGGGGTTCCAAACCACCCTTTCTTTCCATCGGCAGCCAAGCCCTCCGCTACTGTGCAAAACTGCAGACACATGCAATAAAAAGGCTATGCACCCTTACACCGGTGGCCGTCAGTCCGCCTGCAGACAGAGCAGAACTGCCCCACAGCGTCTCCGAGGCATCACCTCTACCAGAGGCGATGGCCGGGTCTTTTCTCCCAGGGATCCTGCGAGTGGGTTTGAACAGCCAGCCTTCGGGTTGGCAGCCTACTGCTTAACCTCTGCAACACCAGGGCTCCCTCATTTACACCTAGTCAGCACAGACTGCTCCATGTAGAATTGGGCTTTTTAAACGTCAAGTATTCTTCTTTTCTCTTTGGGCTAATTAAACTCTTGACTATGATGTCCACGGGCATATTCATTACAAGGAACCAGCAGTCCTTGAGGAACTGCAG